CAGTGCCCACCCTCACCTTCTGTGAGCCCAGGGCTGGGTGAGTGTGAGGGGCAGCCTGGGGCCCCTGCTCCCACCTGACGGTGGAAGCACTGGCAGCACCAGGCTGGCCCAGCTACCGCAGCCCTGCTTGGTGGTTCTGCCAGTCAACATCAGGCCCAGCTGAGCATTGGGCTCCAAGGCTCGGGGTGGCCTGAGCCAGGAGCTGCTGGACAACTTTGCTCTGCTCTTAGTCTAACCCTGAGACTGCAGAGTCCTGAGGCCATGCCTCCTGTCCCCTCCCTGATTCAGGGCCTCAGCTCTTGCTGGACTTCCGTGGTCATTAGGACAAACATCTTGTCTTGTGGTGCTTAGCAGGAGCTGTTAACTGCCATCCACTCCAGTTCCCAGGTGTGTTTGGCTCGTCATTTTCTGGCCTCATCTGGATTGCGTCCAGGAGCTGCCCACTCTCTCCTTCCTAGAAGGTCCTTCAGACTCACTGGAGTATCCCACTGGCTCTGGGCCTTTGGAGGCAACTATCACATCCTCTCATCTTTTTCTTCTTAGACCAAACACCCCAAGCCCTTCAGCTCTTTTGCTGATGACCTGGTTTCCAGCCCCTCACCAAACTCTCTCCCCTGGGCTAGGTAGGGATTGTGCCCAAGCCTCATCAACCATGGCCCCCAGGTTTCACCATGTCCTGTAAGTGTGGGGAAAGGGAACCATCACCTCCTTGGCTGAAGATGTCCTCCTCCTTGCAAATTCACATTTGCTCCTAACACATGGGAGACAGTGACCCTCGAGCCGTTCCCACACACACTACTGACCCTGAACTTGGAGGAAGGGGACCCTCGCTCTGTGGATTCTATCTTATTATGTCTGAGGGCTGTTCAGGCCTGCCAGGATCCCTTTAGATCCTGGCTGTTACCCAGTTCACTTCCAGGTTCAGGTCTAAACCCCAGGGAGATCAGTTCACATCTTTATGCAAGACCATAATACTGCAGGACAAAGCTGGGAGTAGGTCATGAGAGACTTCTTCTGGGTGGGCATCCGCCCAGTCCTCTTTTGCAATTTTCAGTCAGTTGTGAATTCTCTTAAGAGTCACCCAGCTCTCCGGGCCCTCGCAATGACAAGGAAACCTAGGAACTTTCTCATGATGCAGACAGGGATTATGATTATGATTGGTTGCTCATACCATATACTCAAAGTTCTGCCTTAAACACTTCAAAGAAATCCAGAAGTGCACAGTCCAGGCCTAGTATGGTGCTTCCATTTATTCCATCAATAAGTAAATAAATTGTTGTCAATGCCTCAAGACTTCTTTTTACTTCACCATCATTATTGTATGGTTTCTGTGCCTGAGACTGCTTCAGGCTCACAATAAGGTAGCTAAAGTTCCAATCATCAGATGTTTTCCAGACAGGAAGAAAATGAGGAAGTACAGCCACGGGACCACAGCTCTCGATTTTAAAGAGTTCTCCCAAGACAAGGTTGATGGTACACACCTATGATCCTAGTTACTTAGAAGGCAGGGGCAGGAGAATTACAAGTTCAGGGCCAACTTGGTCAATTTGGGGAGACTTGGTCTCAAAACAGGCCAAAGGCATGGCTCAGTGGTAGTGTTGCCCAGCATGTGTGAGGCCTTGGGTTCAATTCCCAGTAGGGGGGCAGCGAGGGGGCACAAGTGAACTTAGAGGGTTTGTTTAGGTTTATCCTCTGTAACAATTAAGTTTGAAGCCAGCCTGGGCAACACAAGGTGACTGCTATCTCAACAAAAGTAATTAAAATAAAGAGCTCTCCCAAAAGCCCCAACCAATAACACAGGCCACTGCATCTGCATGTTATCAGCCACAACACAGGTCCTGCTATTAAGAAAGGCTAACAGAGGTGTGTAATAGATGCTGTTTGGTAACTAGCAGTGTCAGCCACGTTCATGAAGTCCACACAGTAATGATCACGCTGCCCTGCCCAGCACCTCCCATCTCAGGAAGGGCACGCTGAGGCCTGGATAGCACCCAGCTGGAACCTTCCTTGGGTCAGTCAGATGCCAGAAGTTCGGAGAAGGGCCTGTGGGGCGGGGCCCATGCCCAGCTTGTCTACTCTGTACCCAGCACAGAGGAAAGCCAGGCTCACACCCCTGCAACAGGGGTGGCCTGTGTGAGGGTCTCCACTGTGGGCAAGTGGCCCGGACGCCCGGGCCAGGGCCCTGTCACAAGAGCAGCTGCTTCTGAGGCCGAACTGCAGTCTTGCCTAGGCTCATCTGTTAGCAGCAGCGCCAGGCACGGAGTTCTCCTGCTTCCTCTCCCTCTAGCTGTGGTGAGAGGAGCTGGTGTCCTGCTGAGGACAGCCCCGTGCAGGGTCCCAGAGTAGAGAGGCTGGAGGTGGAGGAGGGGTCCGGAGGACACCCAAGGCCTGGGGCTGGACAGTCCCAGAAAAGGAGACAGTCGATTTCCTTCTGCCAGGGCCAATGCTGAAGAAGCGACCCCCTTGCAATTGGTCTATTCCTTTACCCGCCTCTGCTGCCCTGGATCTTGCTATAAGCCTAACACCAGCTAAATACCATGCCAAGCACTATCTCATTTTACCCCAATTACCCCAGTATCAGAATCCCCACTTTATAGATGGGAAAACTGAGAGTAAGTTTCCCAAGTAGTGGAGCTGAGGCCCTAAACCAGGCCCCTGTGACATGGCAGCCCAGCCCTAGCCTCTGGGGACCCTGCCTCCCAGGACCAGCAGGGGATCCTTTGGTCTCCCTCCTGGAGATGAGGCTGGCACAGTGTGCCTTGTGCCTCCGGATCTGGCTGAGGGGCCGGGGAAGAGCTAGGGGCCACAGCAAGCCCAGGTGCTATCTTCCAGAACTTAGGCCATGACCAGGCCAAGCCAAGGTGGAAGTGGGCTAGGCTAGCCCAGAGAGGGAAGGGTAGCAGGTACCCCGTGCAAGGGCCCATGCTCAGGTACCTGCTCATTACTCATCAGTGCTGCTCATGGGGCCTCCCTATAGACTGGCTCTATAGGTGTGCACTGGGGGAATGCTTCTGGGTCTTCGGAGGTCACGGCCTTAACAGAGACCCCCAAAGCTGTTCCACCACTGCATACACATGCAGCTGCTCTGCTCTGCAGAAAACTAGAAACACACTAGAGAGGCATCAGGAAGGGACAGACCGTAGTAGGTGATTTGCAATGGATTATCTGTTTTTTGCAATGGAATATTATACAGTAGTTAAAATGTGTGTCAGAAACAAATAAAAACCCACTGAAATTCCAGAGCGCAGATCAAGATTTCTATATACACGGGTACAGATGGGTGGGGGAAGTGCCTGCCAATGTCCTGTATCACAGCAGGGTTACTATGGTTGATGACAATTAATTGTATAATTTCAGATGACTAACTGGGGGGATTTCAAATGTTTCTAGTACAAAGAGAGGATAAATGTTTGGGTTGATGGATAGGCCAGTTACTGAAATGTCAGCTGCACCCCAGCAGTATGTACAATTATTTGTCAGTTGCAGTGATGCCTCCATTCATGAACTTAATTTGTTTTATGATTTTGGAAAAGATGGCCACATTCATGTTCATGTGGGAAAGATGGCCATGGTCGTGTTTGTCACCCAGTGCAATTTGCAAACAAAAACAAACTTTTGGAAAACGTTTCTGTTTGGGAACAAAATTGTTTGTAAATGGAAGTATTCGTGAACCGAGGTACCACTGTACATTGTTTTAAAAGCCATGTCTGTGAAACCTGATGAATGTTGCTTTTAACTGTCAGGTACATGTGAGTTCATTCGTTGACAGGTAATATGTCAAGAAATTTATAGTGCTGTGTGGTCTTGGATGAATAAATGATATACTCACACTCCATCTGCCATTATTCCAACTGAAAAAATCTAGAATTGAATGTTTTTGAGTCCCCTCTTCTGTTAGGAGATAGTATTTTTGAAATCTTGCTTTAAACCCTCTTACACTATTGGATTAGTATGTTATCCATTGCTATAGCAAAATACCAAAGCTGGATAATTTGTAAAGAAAAAGAGTTTTATGAGCTCACAGTCCTGGGGACCCCAGAGCATGGTGCCAGCTTCTCCACACACTGGTGAGGCTCTGATGGCTGGTGGCATCACTAAGGTGGGATGTGTGGGCAAGAGACTATGTGGTCTTGCTATTGGTCCATGCTGGCCTTGAACTCACTATGCAGTCCACACTGGCCTCGAAGTCATGGCGATTCTCCTGCCTCAGCCTCCCAAGTGCTGGGATTACAGGCATGTGCTATTACAACTGGCTTTGGTCTTGCTCTTTGTAACAACTATCTCTGATAGCAACTAACCCAGGCCTATGAGAACTGCATTAATCCTCCAAAGACTCCAATAAACTACCTGCCTCCCACTTCCCTCCTCCTTGTCCCCTGTGGTACTCAGGATTGAAGCCAGGGCCTTTGCATTGAGCTATATCCCCAGTCCTGCCTTTATTTATTTTTCCTGCCTTATATTTATTGGTACACAATTACAGGACATAATGGTGGGAAGCTGGTACATGTATATAACATTTTAATTCTTTTCTTCACCCCGCCCCCAATCTCTTGGTCCCCTTCCTTTTTACAAAAGACCTATCTCCCTATTTCCTACAGTCTTTTATTTTGTTTATTTATAGTTTGGTTTTCTCATATTAGAGAAACTGTGTGATATTTAAGCTTGTATCTGATGTATTTCACTTAACATTGTGGCTTGATTTTTTTTTTTTTTGGTACTGGGGATCAAACTCGTGACCTTGTGCTTGCAAGGCAGGTGCGGCACCGAGCTAAATCCCTGGCCCTAACATTGTCACTTGAGGTGCATCCATTTTCCTACAAATGACTCAACCCAGCCCCTTTATTTTTTATTTTGACACAGAGTCTCACTAAGTCACTAAGTTGCCAGATTGCACTAGAACTTGCAATTCTCCTGCCTCAGCCTCCCAGAGTGCTGGTATTGAATGTGTGTGCCCAGCAATTTGACCCATTACTGGAAAAAAGGAGTCCTGACACAGAATGGTCTTTGGTCATACACTGTTTAATGAAAGAAAAAAAAATTCAGCATATTACAGGGTGAGACATGCAATGCAGGGTTTGCGCAACAGGCCTCCATGAGTAGTGTCTTGGCCCACGTTCTACTGCTGATTGAATACTACAGACTAAGTAATTTGTAAGGAAATGTATTTCTGACAGTCTGGAGGCTGGGCGGTCCAAAAGTTTGGTGCAGGCATCTGGGGAGGGCAGGGAACATTGCATGGAGAGACAGAGCAAGCATATTAGAGCACACCTGCTTTCCTAGCAATGCCTCTTCCGGAGAGCATACCAATCCTGCAGTGAACAGATCATTCAGGAGGGCAGAGGGCTCAAGACCCAGTCACCCCCAAAGGTGCACCTCTCAACCTGCTGCACTGGGAACCAAGCTTCCAGCACAGGAAATCAGGCGGGGGGGCAGGGGGAGCAGACCAAACCACAGTAAGCACTATGTGGCTTCTAAGGATACCTGAGTTTATGCAAATGCACAACCGAACAACTGCTGTCGCCTCTAGGGAGACACGGTGTGGTTAAAGGGACTCCAGCTTCATCAATCTTATTTCCATTTCTCCCAGAGAAATGTACTGATTATGAAAGGGTAATTAAAAATTAATTTTTAAAAACAGCCATGAAAAATTTACAAGGCCCTCTGCTATCTCAGGCTGCTGTGGGCTGATCTATTTTGATTGTTGTTGTCAGGTTGACCTTTAGTTGATGGCTGATTTTTTAAAATTTGTCACCCTTTTTCTCAAAAGTCCCTATGACTCCCTATGACCTTGGGAACAACACCCAACTCCTTGGCCCAACCCCAGCCTTCCAGTGCCCTGGGGGTCCACTGCCAGGCCTCTGCTTGTGCAGATCCTTCTAGAATGTTCTTCCCGCTCCCCTCTCCCTGCTCAAATCCTGTCTCAGGGCCCAGATGTGACACCTCCACCTCAGTGCCCAGAGCCCTACTGTCTCTGGTCCTCTTAGCCTTCAGGCTCAGCACTTTCCCTTGACATCACAAGGACCCTGATGCTTCCATTAATGTATAATTGTCGCTGAGAACATTTACTTTGTAAATTTTACAGTCAATCATTTCTCACATCAGTCCTGTGATTAGATACTATAATTATTATTCCTGTTTGACTTAGCTCTGGTTAAGTTCAGGTTAAAGGTCCTGCCCAAGGGCCCCTACCTAGTGGTGGACCTACTAGTTATATAATGGACTATTCATGTGTCTTTCAAGACTAAAATCTCAGGAGAGCAGAGGTGGTTACTAGCTTGGTCACCCTGGCATGACTGGCATTTACCAGCTGCTAAATAAATATTAATTAAATGAATAATGCCTGTAAGTGCCTTGATGTTAATACCTTCTTTCTAAAATGATACCAGCAAAAGGCCTGTGATTCCAAGCGCTCTACAGGGATCATCCCAGGCAGCAGGCATCTTCTGTTACTACCGGAAGGATGAGGCTACCTGGGCCCACAGGTAGTCAGTGATCTGCCCAAGGCCACACAACAGACAAAGGCCAACCTAGGGGCCACCTTCACCCATTTCCATGGCCCACTGTGCCTCCTCTGTCTTCTTCAGGGTGCTGGGTTCCAGTTCTCAGGTGTAGAAAAAAACATGGGCAGTGAGATGATTTTCTCAGCGACAATCTGCCAATCAACACGTGGGGGTTCTGAGGGCCCTAGAAAGGTCCCCCGAAAGTAGGTCCCCTCCCCGTGGCCATGGAAGGGCCCAGGGGTGAGTTCCTGGGCAGAGCTCGTGCAGGCTGAGGATGGCATAGGCAGCCGCTCCTAACGAGGGTCTGTAAGGCCTGTAAGCCCTGGCACCACCTCCAGGGGGGGTCTCCCGGGCACCCACCCGGCATTGGACAGGAAAGGGTGGGGTACGGGTGGGAGCAGGCGCGAAGCTTGGCAGCTCCATCCAGATGCGAATTGTCCTTCCCACACTTCTCGGCCCCGGAGGCCTCCATTAGAGCCCCAGAGGAGTTAGAATCCACACCTCCACAAATGGACCCGCTTTCCCAGGGCCCCCCTCCCAGACCTTCCCCGGGCTCTGTGGGTTTTGACACCTCTCTGCAACCTGGCAGGAGGCCACCTCACACCTTTAGTCCGGATAAAAGCTCAGTCCTGGAAGTGGCCCCAGTCTCTCAGCCCGCAGCTCCGGCCATGGCCCGCTCCCCGCCGCCTCCGCACGGCCTCGTTGGCCTCGACCCCTGGGTCTTCTCCCCGGGCTGGGGCTGGGCCGGCCACGCGGACTCCACGTCGCCCGCCTCCTCCTCCTCGGACTCATCCGGCTCATGCCCCTGCGACGGCGCCCGCGGCTCCTCGCAGCTCGCACTCTCGGCCCGCAGCGCCCACGCCTCGGAGGCCACCGCGACGGCGCCCCGACGAGCACGGCCGGGACCCACGGGGGGACCGCGGCGCAGCGCCAGCGAGCGCGAGAAGCTGCGCATGCGCACGCTCGCCCGCGCCCTGCTGGAGCTGCGCCGCTTCCTGCCGCCGTCCGTGGCGCCGGCCGGTCAGAGCCTTACGAAGATAGAGACACTGCGCCTGGCTATTCGCTACATCGGCCACCTGTCGGCCGTGCTAGGCCTCGGCGACGACGGTCTGCGGCGGCGGCGGCGGCGGCAAGTGGACGCGCCGTCCCCGCGGGGCTGCCCTCTGTGCCCCGACAGTGGCGGAGCATCCTGGGGGCCCCCTACAACCCACTCGGGACCCAGCCCCGCGCCCGAGAGCCTGGGGAACAGGGTCTCCGACCCAAATCCCTGGAGGCCACCCCCTTACTGCCCCAAGATACAGTCGCCCATGCACCAGCCCCTGGGGAGAGCCCCCGAAGCTGCTCTTTGGATGCCGCCCCAGGCCAGTGGGGGGAACCAGCCATCACCAGAGCCGTCAAGCGCCACTGTGCCCTGGACGCCCCCACCTGCGCCCCCGGAGCTAGTGGCCGTGTACCAGGTACGCACCGCAGCCCTGGCCCCTACGTGGCCCTTGAGGGAGGAGTCCTGGGCTCAGTGGGAAATGAGTGGGTGGGTAGTCTGCAGAGAAGTCCAACTTTCCAGATCTCAGGTATCTTAATGGAGGGGAGGATGGAAGGGATCCTAACCTCCTTGAGGGAAGAGATGAGGAATGGCCCTTGACTTGCTCAGAGGCCAGGGTGAAAGCCTCGGGCCGGGATCTGCACTGTCAGGAAATTCTAAGCATTCCTTTAAGTGGTCACTGAAGGGAAGTAGGCCCAGGGCTGAGAACAGCACTTCCCACTGTCCTTAGGTGGCCCTGGAGTTGGAACCGTTATGATTTCTTCAGGTTTCATCCATCCATTCATTTCTGAATGATTTGTTGTCTATAAAGGATCATATTAATAACCAAATTTTCCTGGATGTGGTGCCACACACCTGTAATCCCAGCAGTCTGGAAGGCTGAGGCAGGGGTATTACAAGTTTAAACTCAACCTAGGCAATTTAGGGACTAAGATCCTGTCTTTTAAAAAAAAAAGGGCTGAGGATGTAGCTCACTGCAAAGGTCCTGGGTTTCATCCTTAGTATCATAAAAAACAACCACAACTAAATAACCAAACTTTATTAAACACTTCCTGTCTGTCCCCCACAATTCTTTGTACTTCGTATGTCTTCATTCAGCTCTTCTAACAACTCTGCAGAGTGGGCATTAGCAGCCCCACTTTACAGATGAGAAAGCTGAGACCAAAAGAGGCTTCCTGAGTTTGCCCAGCTATGAGTAGCAGTGCTGGGGTCTGAAGATTGGCAGTGCACTTCACAGCCTGGGCTGCTGACCATTTTGTTCCCTGCATCCGGGGCACTAGCGCTGTCCAGACCCCACCAGCCCTAGCCCCGGGATCACCTCACTCACAAACGGTTCTTCTCTCCTGCAGGGGATCTCTGTGTTGCCAGAGCCCTGTCTGTCACTGGGGAGCCCACCCCACCGGCCCCACCCGTCATGCCAGAGACTCCAGCCTCAGACCCCATGGGGGTGCTGGGGCCACAGTGCCGAGCTGCTCCCCAGCTCAGAGGCCCAGGGACCCGGGCTCATCTTCCAGCCTGGTGACATGAGCCCTGCCCAGCGCTCAGGCCCTCGGCTCAGCAGCTGCCCTGAACTTTGGCAAGAAGATTTGGAGAGGACCCATCTGGGCATCTTCTACTAACGGCCTTGCAGCCCCCCTTTTCAGCCTGAATGAAGTAAGGCCTGTGTGAACACTGGTCATGTGCTTCTTCGGGGGCTTTTTAAACTTCCTTTTGCCAAGGAGCCCCTGTGCCTATTATGGAAAGTGTCGGGAACAGATATCGGCTGTCCTCCCTGGTCACAGTGGGGGCCTCCACTGTCAGGCACCACCTTGCAGAGACCTGTGCACAGCAGAGCACAGTCCAGGCTGCTTTGACTGGGCCGCTGCTTGACCCCCAAGGAGGCCAAGCTGGGACTGGTGGGGAAGGGTGTGGGAGCCAGGCCCGTGCCCTGCCTCTGGGTAACTGTTGGCCAGAATCCTGTATGTTAGTTACTCTTCATTCTTTAAAAAAACAAAAACACACCTAGTGAAAATTTGGTTTGGTCTGTTTTCTTCTATCAATTTAAGTTTTTCTAGGTTTTCTGGAAAAGGGGGAACAAGCTCTGCTGTTCTTCCCCTCCTTGAATCCAATCCTGCCGTGGTCGACATGGCCCTTGCCTGTGAGTTCCAGTGTTTCCTGTACCTGGGCTCCAGCTGGGGGCTGCAACTGGCGTGCTGTGTATGCAGGATGGCACAGGTGGCTGAGGGTAGTCACCCATACACCAACTCTGCTCGTTTGAGTCCTTCTGGGTTTTTGCCTGCTGACCCTTGGTAGGGGGATTCATGCAGTTATGGACAAACAGGGCCCCAGATTGGGACACCTGTGTTTTCGGGTGCCTTCACAGCTGTGTAACTTTCTTTTCAAAAGATGCTGTGATTAGCTCCCATATACTTGCTCCTGAGGCCTCCTTAACTTGTAGGTGGCCTCCTCACTGTGTTGCTTGTGTCTCAGCTGTTCTTGGAGGGATCCCAAGCCTACTGGGTTAGGGACCACCCTAAGCAGCTCATTTAACCTTTTTTTTCTGTACCAGGGATTGAACTCAGGACCTTCCACTTGCGCTTTCGAGGCAGATATGGCACCACTGAGCTAAATCCCCGCCCTGACCTCATTTAATCTTAATTACCTCTTTAAAGGATCTCTCCAAATTCAGCTGCATTCTGAAGAACTAGAGGTTAGGCCTTGAATTAACTTTTTGTCTTTCTAACAAAATACCCAAGGTACATTATAAAGAGAAAAGGTTTGAGCCAGGGATTTAGCTCAGTGGTTCCGCTGCCTGCCACAAAAGCACAAGGTCCTGAGTTCCTGGTACCAAAAAAAAAAACAAAAAAAGGTTTGTTCTGGTTTGTGGCTCTGGTGGTCCCAGGGTGACTGAGTGGCCCAATTTATGTGGATCTCTGCCAAGGGCAGTGAATCAAGAGGCAAAGAGTGAAAAAGAAAGGGTCAAAGTCCTGCAGTCACCTCAGAATCTTCCATGGACAGGCCCCATCTGCCAAAGGTTCCACTACCTCCCCAGTAGCACCACCTCTGGACTTTTGGGAGACATCCAACACCCAAGCTAAAGCAAGGCTTAAACAGGAATTTTAGAAGGACACAGTTCAGCTTGTAACATTTGTTGTTAAGCACTGTGGTTAAACTGAAGTCTCCCTGCTTCAGCCTCCTGAGGGTTTATGCCACCACACCTAGCTAGCTTTTCTTTAGTATCAGAATTCTTACACTTGGCACATAGTAAGTGCTCAATAAAAGGCCTTGCTGAGTAGAGACATTGCCTAAGAGATGCGTAGTCAAGTGGCTCTTAAACCTGGCTGTGTGTTAAGTCATCTGGGTCCAGGGTCAGTCGCACTCTGAGTGATAGATTTAGTATGCCAGGTCCCTAAGATCCTCTCTAGGAGATGCTGAGGCCCAGCCAGGTTAGGGAGCAATGGATCTTCATCCCTTCATTTCACAGCTGGAGAAACTGAGGCCCAGGCAGGGAAGCAACTTCCTATAGCCCCCTGCCCCTGCTAGGTGTGGACATCAGGCCCCTGACTCCTAGTCCAGTGCTCTCTCCTTCCTAAGGAGACCCAGGGTCTTAGTCCACAGGCGCAGGGCATCTGCACCATGGGCAGAAGTAGACAGCTTCACTTCGTTTCTGCAGTCCTCACCCACTGTGTTTCCCCAGCTCTGGGCCCTACCAGGGATTCGGTGGAGTCCATGACTTGACTGGCCGTCAGCTGCAGCTGGACATGAGTGTCTCATGCTTGTGGGCTGTGGCAGCCTCAATCCCCAGGCTCCCCCCAAAGGCCCCTGGGGCAGAGAAGGCAGAGGCGAGAAGCCCCACCACTGGGCCAGGAAGCATATGTGGACGGCCAGCTGGAGAGGCCTAGGACACACCCTGCATGCTGCTGTGGTGAGGGGAGCCCCACCATGCACGCTCCTCTGGGACAGCCCAGGGTGCCCTTTTGGAACAGTGTCCCCTCGTACTCCACCCCTTTGTGGCTCTGACCCAGGATGCAGGACCCAGGCAGGCTGCCCTGCACTGCACCTCTCTGCTAAGTCCAAATGGGAGAAAGAGGCTGACTCGGGCATCCTGCCTGGGATGAGTGGTTGAGGCAAATCTTCTGGGAACCCCAGGAACCATCTGTAAGGGACTGGACACCCAGTGAGTGTCTTGCCCAGCCTGCCAACAACCAAGAAATGTAGAAAACACGCTGGACCCAGCAATGTAAAGGATGCTCTGGTTTTGCACATGGCCCTTAAGGCTAGAAGAAGCTGCATTGCCTGGTTCAGGGGTGTTGTGAGGTCACCTCAGGCCAGCCCCTACCCTCTGCATTTTGTAGATGCTGCTGGCCTGGGGTGCAGAGTGTCCCCCTACTGATTAGCAGGGCCTGGACAGGGAGTCAGCAGCTGAAGGTCTGTTAGTTTCTGTGCAGTATCTTGACTAGGCCTCTGCAGGTGGTGGGTCTTCTGGGACTGGTTTCCTCCGGCCACATGGGCCCTGATAAATGCCAGCATTGTAAGCTGACCTCGCTGTTGTGAGCATGCCCATGTGCTGTCACAGTCACAGACCCTCTGCCAGCTCCAAACCAACCTGGGGTTCCACTGCATCCAGCACCTGGCCAGATGCTGCTCCCTGTGCCTAGCACCCCTGACTGTAGGACAGAGAGAACTGAAGGTGCAGCTTAGCAAAAGAGCATCTGCCTCACATGTGAGGCCCTGGGTTCTATCCCCAGCACCAAGAACATAATCATAAAAAATAATCATTTTTTAGAAAGCCAAGTTAAACATGGTCTTCACTTAGGGTCAGATAGTATGTAAACACATTACTCTCTGACCACAGAGACTAACAGGATGTGGCAGCTCTCTCTAGCAGTGTCTTGACTGTTCCTAGCTGTGTCCCTGGAGCCCTGAGCCCACCAGGGACCCAGTGCTGAGGCTGCCCCTCCCCCATCTGGGCCCCAGAAGGTCAAGTGCCAGCCATGGCCGCTGGGTGCTGGCGACAGGAAGGGCTGGCCCAGAGCAGAGGGGTTGGGGGATTTAATTTGGGGCAACCCAGGGAGCTTCCCGGACAGGCCTCAACACCGGCTGGCCTCCGCCCTGCCCTTTGATGTGCAAATAGCAGCAGCAGAGTCCAGAGCCTTCCAGGCCCCAGGCTGCTGCTTCTCGGGAAGGGGGGTGGGAGGCAGCTGGTGGATTTCCAGCTGGGATCCTGGGCTAGGGACACCAGCAGTCCACTCTCCTGTGAGGGTCTGTGGCTAGGAGATCACACACTGACCCCACAGCCCTCATGCTTGTGAGGAAATAGAGGCTTAGGGTTCAAATCCATGACTCCAGAAAGAGTTGGCCCCCAAGATTCCAGCTGAGGACCTGGCTGTGGGTGGCAACTGGAAGTGACCCAAGTTCCTATAGCTGCCCCCGACTCCCTTCTCTCCCTACCCTCAACCCTTGAATGCTTGGCAGGGCCCCGTGGAGCTGGGGCCAGGGTCAGGGTGAGTTCCCCACAGCCCAGCTCCAGCTTTGGGTCAAGAAATACCCTGGGGCCACCAAGAAGCTGCACCTTCTTCCTAGCACTGGCCACCAGGTCATCTGGAGAGCGCAGCTTCCCATGCTGGGAGAGACATAGCCCTCCATGGGCTGCTCTAGAAAACACCCACCCCCCTCTACCAATTGTTATCCGGCCAGGAGCCTGGAGAGGTAGTGAGACAGGCCCTTGGCCAGGAGTGGTGGCTGCAGGCTTGGGGACTCCTCCACCCCCAAGTGCTGTCACTGCATTGTGGGCTAGCATGGGTTCTTGCTTTTAGTAATAATAGAAATTAAAACTACAGGGCCGGGGATTTAGCTCAATGGTTCTGCTTCTTGCCTCGCAAGCGCAAGGTCCCAAGTTTGATCCCGGTACCAAAAAAGAAATTAAAACTATAGCACTATCCCAGAACTTGGCAGGAGGATTGCTACAAGTTCAAGATCTCCTTGGGCTACACAGTGAGTTCAAGGCCAGCCTGTCAAAACAAACAATCAAAAAATGAAAGGACAATTTAACAGGAAAAAGCTTTAATTGGAAAGTAAGAAAAGTAGTAAAGGACTTTAGCTCTAGGAGCTAAGATCAAGCTACTCAAAAAGGCTGGAGCCCAGCTTTAGGGTTCAGCTGGGCTGGGCTGTGCGCTGATCCTTAGCTCTGGAATCCTCATGGGTGAGGTTTCAGTCCCATGAAAGGGATGTCTCTGTTATCTGGTTTCAGTCATGTGGGTCTCTGCTCTTCCCGGAATCCAGGTGATCAGGTTTAGGACAATGGCCAGAAACTTCTGGACATAGTTGGATGTCCCTGTAAATCTCCTGTCTCAGCATCTTCAGTCTGAAGGGAGATGAGATCACTTGACCTCACCTCCCACCTGCTACACAGACCTCCCTCAATGGCCAACATGCCCATGGGCAGAGCCCAGAAGGGATTAGACCCAGATTCACAGTAACAAAATGAAGGTCAAGATTTGTCCTGCTTTTAGTTATCTATTGGGCATTTGTAGGCCCAAGAGGAGTCATAGTTTTTAGTAAAAATCACTTTAAGTCCCTGGATACCTTTGGAGAAAACCCAAGCCAAGCTCTTCAGGAGTAACAGGTGAATGGGCCGGGGATTTAGCTCAGTGGTTTCGACGCCTGCTGCGCAAACACAAGGACCTGAGTTCGATCCCCGGTACCAAAAAAAAAAAAAGAAGTAACAGGTGAAGGGCCCAGGATTCTTCATCCCTATGGTGATCTCTGACTGTGTCACCGCTATAGTCCCAAGTGTCCCTGGGGTTCCTGGGGCTCAGGAAGAGGGGCCCCTGCGACCCCATTCCCTTGCCTTGTGTTGGGGTGGTGCTTTCTGGAAAAGCGCTCTATCCATCCTCCATCAGCCAGGACCAACTCTGCCTGGTACAGTGTCAAAGGTAGTTAGACATCATCAGCAGGCCTGAGGGACACAGGAGGGGTGGGGTCGGTAATAGCTTCGCCAGTTATAGTTAAGAAAAGACCAAAGTGTGAAGTACATTTACAGCAGACCTTAACTTACGAACTCATTTCATTCCCTAGGGCTGGTTGTAACTCAAGTTGGTCAGTTGAAGGCTCAGGCTCCTCTACACAGCCTTTAAAGTCTCTCTTCTGTACACAGGCAGATCTCAGTGTCCTTAGAGAGACAGCGGCCCAGGATTTCTCAATTAACCCCACACAGGAAAGGATGCTGTAATGTTCCTTCCAGAACTCTTTAAGGGTTAAATCTGTATCTGAGACTATCTGGAAGCAAAAGCAGCCAGCATTCAGGTTGTAACTCGATGCTTTGGTTGTAAGTTAAAACTAAAATTCCAGTTGTAACCCAAGTCATAACCCAAGGGTCCACTGTATAATTATTTGTCAGGTGTCAGGCCCACAGTGATCCCACAGAACACAGTGACATCTTAAGTTACACACTGTGCACATTCCTTGTGATACTTGGCCATCTATTTCCAAAACAAGGCACACAGCATTCCTGGGTGTCACTCATGCCAGGTGGTATTGGACAGAGCATTCCTTAAAGACCCTCCCGCTAGGGGCTGAAAGCTGATTCACAATAGAATTTCTCTTTATAAATTTCTCAATGGCTAAGGCCCTTGAGGAAACACCAGCCATCTGAAAAGAATAAGATATTTTTGAGATACGGACATTTCAAAGCAATCTCTAAGAAAAATATCGATAAACATCACAATCACCATTGTTCCCTGAACTCCAGTAGTAACCGCAGGAAAAGGTCACTCAGGTGTTGCTCTGGCTCTATTTGCTTTACAATAAACTTCACCTAGGCTTCTACACTTCCGCCTGTGTGTCTGGACTGAACTTTTTTTTTTGGTACCAGGGATCGAACTCGGGACCTTGCACTTTTGAGGCAGGCGGCGGAACCACTGAGCTAAATTCCCAGCCTCTGGAATGAACTTTTGTCAGAGGCACCAGAACCAAGGACGAAGGACCTGCTTCCCAGTGACATCACCTGTAGGGGCCACAGGCCCCCTGGTTCCCCACTCCAGCTCCAGCTTAGTAAAGAGTCTTGAAGCTCATCTAGAAACCCTTTATTATTTACATTTTCTCTTAGAAAAAAATATACAGATCTGTTACCCTGTTGATTGCTCAGGTTCGAGTCTCTGTGGGAGGTGAGAGGGCAGCAGGGCAGCCCCCCCAGGCTGTTCATTGTCCATCGAGGGCTTCTGCCCAGCTGACCCTGGAGCTGAGGCTTCCCTGAGATCAGCCCTGGGACCCTGGGCAACATGTGCCAGGCCGGACCTGGGGTGGCGTTGGCATGAGGAACAGGGCCTAGTGACCCCACAGACCGCGGAGACTTTGTCTTTGAGGGTTGGACACTGACTGTTGAGAAGAGCCCTGGGCCTCCCTCCAGGGCCAGGTGACCCTGAGGACCAGGAACTATTGGCTGTTGGCCTTGAACCACTGGAGCACGGGCTCCTTGTTCTCCTTCACCCACTTGATGTTGGCGCGTGTCTTCTCCAGGGCCTGCTCCAGAGCCCGGGTGCCCGAGCCAAAGCCTGTGTCCTTGTTGTTCTCCTTGAACTCTTCCAACTGTTGGGGAAACAAAGATTTCAGCCCCACGCAGGTCTCTGACACAGTCTTGAGGAGGAGAGGGGGCTCCCAGGGCTGGAGATTGTGCCCAGACCCCTGGGGACCACATCCGCCTCTACCCAGAACCTGTAAAATGACAGCCCCGGGAGAGATCTGACTCAAGAAGCCATCTGGCCTTCACTGAGCAATATTTTATTGACTTTGTGTGTTTAATTGAAGTACAATCTCAATCCAATCAAGAGGGGCAAGAGGGACGAATCTGACACCCCACGGAAGCAGCAGCCAAATCTAAAATGCAGAAATTACTAAACCACAAATGATCCAGGTGCTTCAACAATACAAAAGAGTGGAGGGGCCTGGGGAGGAGTGTAGCTCAGTGGTAGAGTCTTTGCCCTAGCTTTGATCCCCAGCATGGCAAAAACCAAACAACCCCTTCCCCAACTCTTGTTACAGATTAGAAGATGTATCAGTCCTGGAGGTTCTGGGCAATTGGGCAAGGAAATGGAATAAAAGGCATTCAGAAAGGAAGAAGTAAAACTCTCTCTATTGGCAGATAACATTACTTTGTTTATATAAAATCTTAAGGAATCCATAAAAGAGCTATCAGAACTAGGGCTGGGGCTGTAGCTCAGGGGGAGAGTGCTTGCCTGGCATTCACAAGGCTGTGGGTTTGATCCCCAGCACCTCAAAAAAAAGAGCTACTAGAACTAATGAATTCAGCGATTCAATTGTA